CACCAAGTTAGGTAATTAGGTGAGAGGCGGCGCCTTGTGTGTCTATTAAGGAAGCCGCCACGTTCATGTATGTATGTATGTATGTATGACGGTAATTGATAAAGGCTGTGTTAGTTCCGTATACAGTGGCGGTAAGATAACTATAATAACCTTTCCCAACCTAACTTAATCCACCCTAACCTAACAAACTCAGCCACGACCCCCCACGCCCCGTTGTGAGCCACTGACCTGTGTTTAGGTCGTCTGTTCCTCATAACAAAATATCAAACTAAAACAAAACATAAACAAAAACTTGACGTGGAATAAAATATAATAATAATTGGGTTTTGTTTTGTTGTTTGATTAAAATAAATATAATACCAATAACTAGAGGAGAGTTTTATTAATGAAACACTCTCTCTCTCTCGCTGTAGTGGTTCATATAAAACACTACTGGTGGATATCTGACCCCCGTACTGTAGAGGTCAGTTTAACCCTTTGATGACGATGATTTAACCCTTTGATGATGATGATTTTGGCCTTTGATGACGAGGATTTAACCCTGGCCTCACCCTACACCCCCACACCCCCTGGCCTCACCCTACACCCCCACACCCCCTGGCCTCACCCTACACCCCCACACCCCCTGGCCTCACCCAACATCCCCTGGCTCCTCACCGTACACCCCTCACACCCCCTGGCCTCACTCCTATACCCCTGGCCTCACCCTACATCCTGGCTCACTGTACACCTCCCACACCCTGGCTCACCCTATACCCCTGGCCTCACCCCACATCCCCTGGCCTAACTCGGGGTACACCCCCTCACACCCCTGGCCTCACCCTCTATACCCCTGGCTCACTTATACCCTGGCTCTCACCCTACATCCCTGGCTCCTCACCGTACACCCCCACACCCACTGGCTCACCCTATACCCCCTGGTCCACCTGTCCTGGCCTCACTGTACACCCCACTGTCTTTCTATACCCTGGCTTCACCCCACATCCCCTGGCTCCTCACTGTGCCCCCACACCCCTGGGTTCACCCTACCCCCCACCCACTGAGCCTCATGAAAGTGAGCACCCAACGAGATTTAACTGGGCACCAGGCTTTTACGGTGCTTTCATGATGGACCCTGTGTTTGGAGAAGCAGGGTGTACTCATGCCCAGATGATGGTTGAACTTCCTGTTCTGGCTGCTGTAATGGGCCTGTTACAGGAGAGACCTGGCCAACAGTGGCCTGAGAGAGAGAGAGAGAGAGAAGAGAGATGAGGTCTGTCAAACACCGCAGGTCAATAATATAGCTTATAGAAAGAAAGAAAGAAAGAATATTATCTGAGTAGCTGCAGCGTCTGGCAAGGAAGGAGAAGAAAAGTGGGAGGAGCCAAGAGGGTGCCTTGGGGGTTCAGGTGGTCCCCAAGCTCAAAGTCTGTGTGGTCCCCTGGGTGCCCAAAGTTCAGGTGGTCCCCTGGGGTGCCTAGTCTGTGTGTCCCCTTAAAACAAAGTCAGTGGTCCCTCTGGGTGCCCAAAGTCCAGGCATGGTCCCCTGGGTGCCTAAAGTTCAGTTGGTCCCCTGGGTGCCCAGTTCAGGTGTCCCCAAAATGAAGTCCAGGCATGGTCCCTGGGTGCCCAAAGTCTCAGGTATCCCCTGGGGTGCCTAAAGTCAGTGTCCCCTGGGGTGCCCAAAGTCCAGGTAACCCTCAAAAGCCCAAAAACTCAGGGGTCCCCAAAGCCCAGTTCAGTGTCCTGGGTGCCAAAGTCAGGTCCCCTAAAGCCAGTCTCAGTATCCCCTGGGGTGCCTAAAGTCCAGTATCCCCTAAAAACAAAGTTCAGTTGGTCCTAAAGCCTACAAACTCAGTGCCTAAAGTCTGTGGTCCCCAAATGAACAGGGTCCCAATAAAGTCTGTGCAGTCCCCAAAACAGTCCAGTGGTCCCCTGGGCCACCACCCAAGTGCCCAAAGTTCAGGTGGTCCTGGGGTGCCTAAACACCCAAACCAAAGCCAGTTGGTCCCCCTGGGGCCCAAAGTCCAGGGTCCAACCTCAGTGCCAAGTTCAGGTGGTCCCCAAAATGCAGCCAGTGCCTCCAAAAGCTCAGGTGCAGATCCCCTGGGTGCCTAAACAGTGGGTCCCCTGGGGTGCCTAAGCCCAGGCACCTGGTCCCAAAACTGGTCCCCAAATAAAGTTCAGGTCCCAAAGGCCAAACCCAGGACCAAAATGGTGCCACCCCAAAAGTCTCAGGTGGTCCCCAAAATGGAACAGGTCCCCCAAACCAGTCCATGGTCCCCCTGGGGCAGTCCAGTGGTCCCCAAATCCCCAAAGCCCAGTCCAGGTCCCGCGCCCAAAACAAGTTCAGTGGGTCCCCTGGGGTGCCCAAAGTTCAGGTGGTCCCCAGCCAAGTCCAGGTGGTCCCCTGTGCCTAAAGTTCAGGTGGTCCCCAAAGCCCAGTTCAGGTGGTCCCCAAAGCTCCAAAGTTCAGGCGTCCCCGGGGTACCCAGTCTAGGGTGATCCCTAAAGCTCAGGTGGTT